CTATTTGTTATGTTGAAGATCTCTACATATTTACATTAATTTTTAACATAAAGTCACAAATACACGTGTTACAAATTTAAATCCAAATAAATTGTGACATTTAAAATGTTATCCTCTATATATTAATTGAGAAAACACTAGATGAAAAATCATAGGTGTCAAAGATTTTAAGGAATATTTAATGAAGACTACTAAAAGTTTCTAATGACATTATGCATATAGTTAGAAGAGCCCAGCTATATCTTAACCCAATTACCCACTAATTTTATATCATATATATAATACATAATCATCAAACCAATATGAAACCAACGAATATGTGGTAATTAATATGGTAGATTTTATTTAAAAATCATTTATATATTAGTATGAGAGTTTTAAGGGACATATAAATTAAATTAATCAATTAAAATATTTTAGTTAAACCTATTTGTCATGTTGAAGATCTCTACATATTTACATTAATTTTTAACATGAACTCACAAATACATTTGTTACAAATTTAAATCAACTAAAATGTGACATTTAAAAATGTTATATAACATAATTTTTTAACGACGAATCATTTACGGACAATTACTTTATAAAAATTGTGTTAATGTTCATCTGGATACTATATGTAACTTATCATCCATTTTTTTATATCGCTTAATTGTATCCGTATTACTCTAGTTAAAGTTGTGTTTTTTTTATAAACGTACAATTTTACAAATTCATAAAATCATCATTTTCACTTTTTTATTATTTCTTTCATTTTTTATTTGAATTTTTTTTACATTTAACTCAATATTTGTTTTGGTTTAGGTGAACTCAAAATAAGTTTGAAAGAATATATAATCTCAAATGTATTCGATTTACATAAAGAACTTACATTTAATCTAAGTGTCATGCAAATTAATTTTGTAACATAAATATATTTATTTACATGAAAGATATACCATTTGTTTTTTGTTATTTCTTTATTTCTCCCGTATATTATAAAAAAATCATAAACTTTTGTTCTCGAATATTCTAATCCCGCATTTGACGCGGGACAAAAATCTAGTAAAATACCAAAGGACGTACTGTATATCATTCAAAACTCAATTCTATATAAGCATTTTGATTTCTCAAAATATGGTCACGTTCAATTCACAAACAAATATACAAAATAACTAAATGGGTCGTGTGCAAGCTCGCGAGTAACATATGCTTCAACGATTGTCTAGTGGATCGGCCCACATATCTAATTTGGTTATTTTAAATCTCAGATAATATAATATGAACTTTGTTCGGTAAAAAAACAAAAACTTTTACACTACTCCCGTTTATTTTTAAGGTTGTTGCATATAAATTAAAAAGTTATTTACTTTTTTTTTTTCAAAATAAAACATTTTTATCATCAACTTCAAAATCATTCAACAAATTAAAAAACAATATGCAAAATTTAAATAATAAAAAACAATAAAAACACAATTAATTTTACATAAAAAATTGATAACATCAACACTAAATGAAACAAAAAAAAATTCTTTAAAACATCACTATTATGATATGGAGTGAGTATTATATTTCTAGATATTATATTTTTCTCAAAAAAATCGTTTATAATAAATATGTTTATCGATTTTTTTTTTGATATTTTTGTTCATATAAACTTCACAATTGAGATTTCCATATTATTTCTAGTTTTTTGTTTTTCAATTTATAAAATCTTTTTTTTATCATTAGAATTTTTTATTTTTCTTCACTAAAATTTATATTTCTTCTCTACTTTTGTCTTTTTATTTTTTGTATTCTTTCTATATTCTTTTTAATTTTCTTTTTCTAATTAGATTAAACCATTATAAATTTTAATTTAATGTAGATAATTTTGCTTACGTGTTAAGATCTCGTTGAACGCATTTTTTTATATAACAAGATATTGGAACAGAATGTAATCATTCAAACTCAAAGAGTATTGTGATTTTGTGAAGTTTGCTAGTACGAGATTTGATTCTAAACGAGGAACACATGCAGGCATAATCGAACTGTCTCTAGTGTCAGAGACGTTTAAGTGACATTTAGCTAGGATCTGAGGGAAGTTTGGGAACTGTGGTTCGGTTCCAGGTACTGTAGCTGAACCAGTGTCGTTGGTGCATGGTGCGATTTCGTCTGCTAAACATTCTGCGTTTTCGTTCTTGTTTAAGATTGTTAGGTTCTGTGATGTTCTTGTTTTTTCATAGCATCGTATGTTAGGTCTCTGAAAAGAATATCTTCTTCATCTGCAAACTCAAAAAACACAAGTCCATAAAGTTCACGAATCTCTATGTATTTGAAATAACTTTCTTTTGAAGTAAACATGACTCTTGTTTTTTACNAAAAAAANAAAAAAAAAACATGACTTTGTTTTTTTTTTTTCTTGTTTAATCAATTTCAAGAAAAGTATAAGGTTTAATGAAAGCAGATCCATATGCTTAAATTTATCATAGAATTTAAAGATCAAGATCTAATGCAGAGCTATGAAGTGAACAGATCCTAATAGTTTTTTCAAGACTAGATCTAAACAGTATAACCAAAACACTGCGAATCTTCCAAGAACCAGAAGATTCGTAGAGAGAATCTCAAGAAGATGAATTTACTTTGAACAAGAAAATCTTGGAAGAGAGAGTGAAAGAGAGGAAGTTACCGGTATCGCTAAGGACAGGGCGATTGAGGAAGAGAAGGATGATTGAGAGAAGGAGAAGAAATGGAAGCTTGTGGATCGCCATTGAAACTGAATCAAGAAGCTCTTTGATGATTGTTTTTTTTTGGCAAATGGCTTATATTTATTGAAAAAATGAGATTCGAGAAATGGTTACTTAGCTTTCACTCTTGATAGTTGTTTGATTCTGTTGTGCTTTTCTTGTCCACTAGATTTTTGACATTTCGTCGACCATTTAAGGCCTTTTAACTAACTTATTCGTTGAGTCTTATTCTCATCCGAAACGGCGTCGTCCGGTGATAAGGGTAGACTAAAGAACAAAGACTTTTTGAATCACACTGATTGGGGGACTTGGACACTTGAAGACTTTTTGAATCACATAACAAAGACTTTTTGAATCACATATCAAAGACTTTTTGAATCACACTGGTAAAATCAGAGTTGAAATTTGGAACTAAGTTCTGCAAAACTCAATGATCCAATTTGATTTGTTATTACAGAAACATCTAATGTAAGTACCAAGATGTGATCAAANNAAATCAAACACAAAAGCAAAGTAGAAGTAGAAGTATCAGAGTGACTCACTCCATAACTGCGGATCCACCAGCAGCTTTGATCTTTGCTATGAGTTCGTTAGCTTCTTCCTTNGTCAAACCTTGTTTAAGCACGATCGGGGCTTTCTCCACAAGCTCTTTCGCTTCTTTCAGACCCAAGTTCGTGAACGCTCTCACNTCTTTGATCACTTTGACCTTTGCAGTTGTATCAAACTTCTCCAGCTTCACATCGAAAACNGTCTTCTCCTTTACCACTGCTATTTCGGCTCCAGCATCTTGTTTTGCTCCCGTACTCATGCCTTCCGATGAAATCATATGCTGTTTTGGAAGCCTCAGGTGTTCATTGAGTG